GGAAATAAAAGTGATGTCTGGGACGCATTGTGAATGGACTGCCGGTGGGTTGTTCACTTAAAATAGCAAGTGATATGTGAATTTTACCTCAATAAAAAAATTACGCAGTCAGGTGTGCTGGCACCTGTAATCCAAGCGCTCTGTGAGAATGAGGCAGAAGGATCACAAGTTCAAGTCCCACCTAGGTAATTTAGCAACTTTGTTACTTGCCTTGTAATAAAAAAGGGCTGGGGATATAGAGCAGAGGGAAGGCCCTAGGTTCAATCCTCAGTACCCCCGTAACCATACATACGCTCATGCACATGGGCACACACGTGCACACACAAACATGCTACTCTGTATAATTCACACATTAACCTAAGATAGGAAAAAAACCAAAGTATTTTCATTGTCACTGTAGATACAGGCAGGTGGCAGTAATGAGGCAGCACCTCATCACTCACTGCCTTCATCAGCAGAAAATCCCTACGGGGAGCACCCAAAAGAACAGGTCCCCTTCGTGTGTGACGCATTTCCAGAAACTCCCAGTCATCACTGAGAAAGATTTTGAAGGGATGTGAATGTCCTATAGACAACAGAGGCAAAATCCAGTGAAACTGGGATAACCAATAACCCCATTCGCACTAAAAGCCAGTGGAAGCCCAAATCACACTGACAGCACTTTCACATGCTGGTCTATCTCTCTTGATTTGCATCGAACAGGCTACTGCATCCCGGAGATTCTGCCTGCATCCCCGAGCCCCGAGCTCAGGTCTCCTACCCACGCTGGCACAAGAGCCTCCTACCTCCTCTCTGCCTCTCTTCACCATCCCTCTTTTTCATTTCCTACTTCTCCTTGTCTACGGCCATACCACCCTAAACACGCCCCATCTCGTCTACTTTGCCTGCAGCCCTGAGCTTTCCAAGCTGAAGGTCTGATTTTGTAGATCAGCCCTCTTCACGCGCTTGCTGTAACTCCCACAAGCTGAGGACATGCTCTTCGCTTTGCCTGGAACCAATCTGACCTTTCTCTGGGCATTTGTACATCACCTGAGAAGGCCCAAGCGAGGCCCTGGCAAGAGAAAAGGGTATTAAGATCAGATCAAGCCAAAAGTGTCAAACATGTAGCCCAAAATGGTACCAGTGTGTGCTACTCGGCTTTCTATCACTGTGATAAAAGACCTGAGATAATCGACTGATAGGAGGGAAGATTTATTTTGGCTCACGGTTTTGGAGGTGTTGGTCCATGGTCACTTGGCTCTAGGATTCTAGGCCTGTGCGGGGCAGAATATCATGGTGGAGAGCACATGGTGGAATGGTGCTGCTTACCTCATGGAGACCAAGGGGCGGAGACTGAGCAAGCTCCTATTTATAGCGAAGTCTCTACTGCCAAGCCCATTAAGCTACGTCTATATATGGATCAATCCACTGATAGGATCAAAGCCCTAATGATCCAATAATCTCCCAAAAGCCCCACTTCTGAACACTTTTATGCTAGATACCAAGCTTTCGACACATGAGCTTCAGAGAGACATTTAGGATCCAAACCATCACACAGCTTAAGGGACCAGAGACATAGGGGCAACTTATGAAAATAAACCAGGCATGGTGGTGTACCCCTGTAATCCTAGCACTCAGGAGGCTAGGGCAGGAGGATCGCTGTGAGTTCAAGGCCAGCCTGGGCTACAAACTGAGTTCAAGGCCACCCTGAACTACATAGCAAAACCTTGTCTCAATAATAATAATAATGATGATAATAATAATAATAATACATACTCACTGTAAAATTACTTGAAAATAGAGACTGCATCCTTTGGTTCATAATGTACTGTCCTCCTCTTGGTACATAAGACATTTTAGATGGGAAGCGATGTCTCAGATTCACAGATTTTTATATGATTAAGTAATTGTTGCATCTAACATTTTTAAAACTAACTTTTGGGGGCTGGGGATTTAGCTCAGCGGCACAGTGCCTGCCTTGCAAGTGCAAGGTTGTGAGTTCAATTTCCAGTACCAGAAAAAATAAATAAATAAATAAATAAAACTAACTTTTGTTCTATAAAACACGGGGCTCTGCTAACCCCTGCAGTAAAGATTAACGAGAATGCACCTTGTCACTGTTACTTTACTTCCTTAGTGCAGAACGAACTCTGCATCCCGAATAAATCACGCAGCATCTCTGAAAGAGGCTGTGGGAAAGTGCTTTTTACAAGGTTTGTGTTAGGTGATTCTAGGAAGGAAGGCCGGAAGGAACTGGTGTCAGGTCAGGACTGGGTTTGTCACGAAACAGGTGGATTGGAAACTGGCTGTGTCCAAAAGCTTTGCTCAGGAAGTGAGAGGAATAACAAGGGTCTTTGAAAGGCGTTGACAAGAGAGACTGAGTCACTCAGTGTCAACAGTATTGCAGCTGTGGTGTGGCCTTGGGTCACATACCAGACTCTATTGGCCTTGCACCACCCTGATTTATGACTGTTGGGGACTTTGCAGTCTGCTTACCACAGCTGGCTTTCACTTCTTCAGGTGCCAGGCAAAGCTGGCGCACATCCCTGGAAAAGAGAGCAGCGCTGTCTTTATGCCTGGGAGGTGCTTCCCGCCAATGTCAAATAGTAAACATCATTCTGAGCTTTCTAGAACTCTTAACATGCTAAGGTGAATTGAAGACTTTCCAAGACTCCTTCCACTTATTTTCAATACATCTGTGTTACGGTTTGTGTCTGGGTGTCCCCCCAAATCCTCATGCGGTCATGGAGCAGGCTTCTAGATTTTTTATTGATCCATAGTCCAATGCTGGGATTGTGGGTGTGAGTGCTACACCTTCCCTGGGGCGGGTAGTTTGCATGCAATGTAAGGGAGGGAAAGAGGCTGCTTGCTGCTCCTCCCTTTTGCTCTTGCTGCTTTTGCTGTCTTCCGCCGCCATGTATGTTTGCCCTCTGCCATGTGCCACTCTGCCTTGGAGCCAGCCATGTATGGACTGAAACCTCCACAAACTGTGAGCTAAATAAACCCTTCCCTCCTTAATTTTGGGCATCGGGTATTTTGTCTCCACAACGAGAGAAAAGTAACCAAGACAATGTGTCTAAATGATTCTGCCAAAACCCAAGCCAAAGTATCAGAGGATTTCTCACGCACCCCCAACCACCACACATTACCACCCCAAGCTCTTTTCCTACCATTATTCTACCTGCTTTCTCTCTACCCTAGCCACCGTGGCCACCCTGCTGTCCCATGAACACCTGGATTTCTTTGGGCCCAGATGCTTCCCCCTGAGACTGAGTAACCTGCTTCCTCCCTCTCACAGGTCTGCATCCTGATGGTGGCTTCCAGTAAAGCCACCAGACGCCCCTTACCCCGCCCCAGCCCCACCTTCTAGGACACCTCCTCACCGCTTTATATTTCCTTTTAGCACTTATCACCATTCAGATATCATACATTTTATTCTTCTAACTCGTGGTCTCTGTCCCCATGCAAGGTGGGACTTTTTATTTATTTTGCCCAGTGTTGTATTCCTAAGACTAGAACTGTGGCTGCCACAGAATAGGCGCTCGGCAAAAATTTACTGAACAGAGGTGGGATGTAGCTTAACTGTAGCGTGCTCGCCTAGCATGCGCAAGGTTCTTGGTTTGAGCCCAGCATTACAAAAATAAAATAATAAGGTTAAAATATACTTTTTTCCAAACTTCTCCTCCTACAGAGATAGTGGTGAAGGAAATCTCTATGTTTTCCACTGATATTTGGAAAATAGTTTTGTTTTGTTTTTTTTTTCTTCCAGGCAAACGGTAGGGAGTTTCTGGGTCTCTTGCAGGTTTTTGAATCAGTTCACCATGTTTTAACTTTAAAGCTTCCAAGATCCTGCCTGGAGCTAATACTGCAGTCACTAGATGGCGCTGTTCACCAAGAAGCTCAGAAAGCCCAGCCCACTCCGCCATACACACCCTGCAAACCATCTTCCTTCCAGAGAGGTGAGTTCAGGGTAAGGTCGCTACTCCCTACACCTTACATCTCAAGAAGAAAGAGGAATCTCAAGTTGCCTCCAAACCACTTACCAGCTCCCCCGGGTCTACTCAGGAGCACAGGCTAAGCCTTTGGTTGGGAGCAAAGTGCTTTTTGCTGTTTCTAGCACAGCCCGTTAAGCAGAGCCTTGCCCCCCCACCTTTTTTCCAGTACCGGGAATCGAACTCACGACCTTGCTCTTGACAGGCAGGCGCTGTGCTGCTGAGCTAAATCCCCAGCCCCCATTGGCCCCCTTTTGAAAGCCAGGGGAGGCCTCACCTGCCTGCTCCTACTTGACTATGGCCTGGTGGCACAATCTCGCCTCTTTCTCTCCACCCGGCCCCTCTCCGCCGCGGTGGAGGGTGAAGCGCAGGTGAAGATGCCATCGCGTTTGCAGCCTGGGCTGCTGCAGCGCTTGAGACGGAGAAGGCCAGCCTGGGGACTCAGGCAAGGAGCCGATGGCGCACACCGTCCCATCACAGATTGTCCCAGGCCCTTGGGCGACGGCCTGACACCCCTCAACCTTGTTTTCCGTAGCTGCATCACGGGCGTAACAACCCCCTCACCAGAGGCGCCAAGCCAAGCTTCTATAATGCGGTGTGTCCCATTTCCGGGTATCCCCTATAATTATAGTCTAAAATAAGGCTGGCCGTCTGAACCCTTCTTTTTCTTTTTCTTTTCTTTTTTTGGTACTGCAGATTGATTCCAGGGCCTTTTCACTGACCTACATCTCCACCCCATTTTTTATTTTTCACTTTGAGACAGGATCTGGCTAAATTGCTAAATTCCCTAGGCTGGGCGGAACTGTAACCTGGCATCTTCCGGCAGCAGCCTCAGAGTGCTGGGATCACAAGCTGCGCCTCCACTCCCAGCACCCTCTTGGCCTGGTTTCCAGATGTCCCCGAGAATAAAAAACCCCACCGTTGACCCTCTCTACATTGGGTAATAGACCCTTCGCTCCAGGTAGGTCAGCAAAAGTTACTGTTTTAGTGAATAAGCATTAGTCAGTTCAGAAGTGTTTGAGAACCTGTAATTTTCCTTGTTGTCTTAGAAGAACATTGTGGAGGGAAAAAAAAAAAAAAAAGACAGAGGAGAGGAAAGGCGGAGGGTAAAGACAGCAGGTCGCCATTTCATGAAATCCCACTGTTCCTCTTACTTCTCAGCTGGGGGACGGTAGGGTGGTTGTTGGTTTTTGTTGCTAGCCCCTGCATGTTCTATCAGGAAGTCCCGGAGAACGGTTCCATCTGGGGGCGAGGGCCCCTAACTGCGAGCGCTCCTTTGCTGCAGTCTTGGTGTCTCACACAAACTATGCTGATCTTACAGGCTGTGCAAGCAAACAAAACAAGCTCCATTGTGCCCCTCGCCCATCATACATCTGCCCTGGGGCTTCCGGCTTGCCAGTCCGGTCAAATCATCTCTTCCAGAAATGACCCAACCCCTCCCCTCCCACCTTAGAACTGCAGGGCTGACCCCTTCATCTTCTGCAGGTCGTGACACGTCACCCTCCCGGTCCCCACCTCCACGTCCCAGGCCCTTCTTCCTGTGCTCTCTGTCCAAGTGCCACTATCATCCGGTCCATTATGGTGCAGCTCTTTCTGAGGTCCCATTCTGACCCTGAGACACAGCAGAAAAGAAAAAGGAAATGATTCCCTGTGAGTTGGTTTTGTAAAAATAGAATGGGTTTTATAAAAAGAAGAAGACAAGCCTGCATGCACTCACCTAGTAGTTTCTCTAATTATAGATGGTTGAGTGTCAAGGGCAACCATACCAGGTGACAGGAGGGTTGCATCAGACAGGATGTCTCGTTTCCAACTTCCCCTCTTCGTGCCCTGTGTGTGCACTAATCAGCATTTTAAAATTACAACCTGATTCTTATCCAAGGAGGAGGTCTCCCCATTAGCTGAGCTGTGGTTTGCAATTTTGTATCACCAGGAATATTTCATCCCCAGGCTCTGGGTTTATTCTCTAAAGTTTTGGTGATTTGCAGTTTCCCGGGAAATAATGAACTTATTTTTTTTTTCAGGGAAAATATAAACATTTAGGAAGAAACAGAGGTTGGAAAACAGATAAAAAGCTGAAATCTCATTCCCATCATGGCAAAGATGCATTTCTCTCCTCCATATATCCTTTGCTGTTATTAGTAGTAAAATTGCTGCTGCAAAAATACGAACGAGGTGTCACAAATTCAATATTTAAATCAGAAATGTCCTCTCCTATAGAACACAGAACCTTAAGACAAAAAAAGAAAGAAAGAAAGAAAAGAGAAAAAAAAACAGAGCTGGGTGAGGTGACAAACACCTAAATCCCAGCACTTTGGAAAGCTGAGGCAGGAGGATCTCAAATTGGAGCCCAACCTGGGCAACTTCTTAAGTTAGGGAGACCGTGTCTGAAAATAAAAAAATAAAAGGGGCTGGGGATAGAGCTCAGGAGAAAGTTACCATTAGTATTGTCACTACTAACACACACACACACACACATGCACACACACACACACAAACTAGCCTGATAGTCAGTGAATTCAGCATCTCTATACTTATTTATAACCCTTTTCCTGACTGTTTATATGAACGAACTTCTGGGAATTTTTCTTAAGGTGGAGCTCCTCAAGCTGGCTGCTTCTACTTTTAACAGAGATCACAACCAGCCCTCCAAACACCACATCCAGCCAGCTAATGGATGCAGCTGAGCCGCATAGTGATTTTGAAAAGAACTAAGTGTTGTCATTTTTTAAACTTACATACAAACATATAGGTTTGACATACAAATATATAGGTTTATGTAATACATAGGTTTGTATATGTAGATATAGGTTTATATCTGTTTATATAAACAGATTTCTATAAATGCAGCCTGATGTAAAAATACAGACTTACTTATTGTCTCTGAAAAAAATATAAACCAGAAGTGGCAGCTGAGGGAGGGTATTTCCACACGGGTGGTGGTGGCGACTGGCCGTCAGCCCAGGAAGCAGCACGCAAGCAGGGTCATGCACAGGAAGCGAGGGTCTGAAAGGTGATGAGTTTTCTCCCATGCCTGAGAACCCTAATGCCACTCAACATTCAGTTCTGCTGCTATTAAAACACGTGGAAACTAAGCACAGCTCCCTCGACAGCTGCGAAAGACCCGGTTTCCAGCGGCGGAGCACCAGGCTTCCTCTTTCCTGCCCGTGACAGCAGCTGGGATGCGCCTGCTTCACCCTCTCCATGTCTCCTGCCCCATCACTCACCGGGCCCTGACACTGATTCTCCCAAAAGTCCCCTAAGCAGAAAAGGTAGCCGGGACCCACAGGAATGCTTCAAACGTGCCTCCAGCAAACTGAGTCGTGTCTGAGTGAAAAACACACGCTGGATTTTAAACACCGAGTTCTAATAAAAAGTAAAGCCGGGCATGGTGGCACACCCTGTGATCCTGGCGCTTGGGAAGCTGAGGCAGGAGGATGGAGCGTTGGAAGGCAGCCTGGGTCACACAGCAAGTTCAAGGCCAGCCTGGACTCCGCAGCAAGATTCTGTTGCAAAATAGAAAACCCCAATCACAGGAATAATAGTCGATAATAAATAAAAACCTAAGTAAACCAGTAATTTTATATTCATTACCTACAGAAATGATATTTTGGACATATTGAGTTAAAAGGGTCTGTTAAAATTAATTTACCCATTTATTTTTACCTTTTTAAGAATATATCTTCTAGAAAAATGTGAGGTGAGACACGGAGCTCACATTTGCGGCGTCTTCCTGTTGCCCAGGCCTGCGTCAGAAGCCTCTGTGTTGTCCTAACCTGTCCGGCCTCCTCTCTGCTATCATGAGCTTAACCCTCTTGTGCTTCACTCCCAGAACATCACCTCAGTTCCCCAAAGACACTGGGCCCTTGCCTGCTTCTAATATGCTCTGCACACTCTGGCCGAGCTTATCCGCCTCAGACAGCGCTGTTATCATGAACCATTCCTGCTCAGAAACCAACACCCACTCCCATCTCTGCACCACGACGTCCACACTCTTAATGGCAAACTGATAACAGCTTCCATTTTCGAACCCTCACTCTGCGTTTTGGGTAATTCTCCCAACTACCTAGCACCTAGCACACCAGACTCTTGGTGGTTTTTTTTTTTTTTTTTTAAGATTTACTTTTTAAAAACCCAGGCCCATTCATTCTGCATCTTCTTTAGGTAGATGTTGCAGTTTGAGGTTTTGCAAGGAGAACAACAGAGGCCCCATTTTATAGAATTATTTATAACAGTCACTCAAAAAATCATACAAAGACAGTGCAGGAAATCTGTCCACACGCTAAGGACCAAAGAATCCAGCTGAGGGCTTGGATCGCACAGCAATGTCCTGCGTGAGTCCAGCTGAAGACCTAGAGCCCGTAACAATGCCTCCCATGAGTCCAACTGGAAGCCAAAAGCCCACGACGTCTCAGGCAGGCCTGTTTCACGGATCTGCGCTGGGAAGGCCCAAAGGTCAGTGGTGGAAGCTAGAAAGTCTGTGCCAGCAGGATGAAGGATCTGTGCCAGCAGGCTGAGGGATCTGCACTGGAGCCAGCAAGTGACGCTCAAAGTAAGAACCAGAGCTCCCCTGCAAGGTACTACAGCCATCCTCAGCAACAGTGAGGTCCTGACTCTTCCTCCGATGATGAGGAAAATCAACATGACAAGCTTCTCTCGGAGACTGAGCAGTGCATTGTTCTCCTCTCTGGAGCCAGGAAGTAATGCTCAAAGTGAGGACCAGCGCTCCCCCAAAGTGGAGAGTAGCCATTCTCAGCAACAACTAGGTCCCGAGCTCCTCCTCCAATGAGAACATCAGGAAAGCCAGTATAACGCAGGAGAACCAGCAGCTCCCCAACAGCTCCCTAACAGCCTCCTCACAGCTTCTGCTCTTGTCCAGTTCTGCCTCTTATGTCCTTGGCAACTACGCTTAGGTGGGCCTCCCACACCCAGCACCACTTTGACTTGGTTCAGCTGGGTGTGACAAGTTGACCGCTAGCTGTCAATCCACCGTAGTAGACCATCTATTTAAATCGACATGATCAATTTGCCAACCAGTTCTTTTGCATTCATTTACCACAGAGTCTATGCCCCAAATGCTCATTACTTTTTTTAAAAACTTTTTTATTTGAATATGTTTGCAGTACATAATAATTACAGTCATTGTGGGAAATTGGTACGTGTACGTGACACAAATCAATTATTTTTCCCTCTTACCCTCCGTCCCCATTTTTAACTTTTTCTTTTTCTTGGCAGCATGAGATTCACTTATTTTGTAAATCCTTATCAAGTTAATTATCATAAACACAGGTTAATAGCTAGATTGACAAACAGGCCAAAAAAAAAAAAATACAAAAGACAGAAGCCAATTATACTAAATCAACGCACACTTTTTGTTTTGTTTTTTTGAGACAGGGTCTCACTCCTCATTCAGGCTGGCCTTGAACTCCCTATGTCACTATGTAGCCCAGGCTGGTCTTAAACTCACAGCAATCCTCCTACCTCAGCCTCCTGAGTTCCGGGATTACAGGCATGCGCCAAGGTACCAGGAATCGAACTCACGACCTTGAGCTTGCCAGGCAGGTGCTGTGCCACTGAGCTAAATCCCCAGCCCCTACTGCCTAGCTTTTATTTTGCACATTATTTATATATGTTTCTCATAGATGAGAAACCGTTGGGTATTTAAGCTTGTTTGTCTGACCTACTTTACTTAACATTATGGTCTCAAAGTGTATCCATTTTCCTAGGAACGACTCCAGTTTATCTTTCTTTATGACACAGTAGTACTCCATTGTGTATAAATTCCAGACTCCTGATTTTCTAAATAGAACTGAGAGAGGATGGCAACATTTGGCTGAATGGGGAGGGAGGCGAAGCACCTTTGATCAGAAAAGTTACCAAAAAAATGCAGTTAAAGCATCCAAGTAGCTAGTATTTTTATTTAGAACTGTTTATAAAACATCTTACTAAACAGCTAAAGAGCAATCACCATCTGTGGATCTAGAGGTGGAACTATTTTTTTTTACAACCTCGGAGAGAAACAATAATATAATTAGAAAAGAAACTTATATTTGCATTTTAGAAAACCCAACCTGAAATCCAACCAGCAAAGCTTAAGGGAAATAGTGCTCTTTGCTCATCTATCTTAGGTCTAAAGTTGACATACACACATATATACATCAAATCCATACAGCCATAGTCATAAAGTGGATAAAATGGGACTATGCCAATCTAAACTGCTCTGATATAACAATAATTAAATTTGTTTTTTGTTTTGCTTTGTTTTGTTTTCTGGTACCGGGAATCGAAGTCACGACCTCGCGCTTGCCAGGCAGGCGCTGTGCCGCTGAGCTAAATCCCCAGCCCCAACAATAATCAAATTCGAAAAGACACCAATTAAAATTTGGCTGGGAATTGAAGCAATCCAAAGCGGAAGAGTCTTCTCATTCATAAACTGTTGAAGGTAATTCTGCGTGGTAACATGCATTTAGCCTGAGGATAAAAGATCCTTTGTCAGAATTCATCTAGCATCACGCACTGTCTTCAAGACTTTATCCCTTTCAGAACCTACTCCATTTTATGTACATTTACTTTCACGTTTGAAGCCCCAGATCAGGTCTTGCCAAATACTGCCGAGCCAAGCCATTTAGCGGATTAGATACCTTCCTATCTGCCTGGCCCTACGTGGCAGCCCCATTGGGGCAACTCGGAGAACTCTACAGAAGGGTGGTGCGTTGGCGTCTGACGCTCTGTGCTAAGTTCTGCAGGTTTAATCGGCAGGGAGTCACACATTAAAGGGTTGGGTGGGGAGGGAACAGGAGCGTCCGCCGCGACGCAGAGGCCAGACCGCAGCCAACAAAGTCCCGCGCCAGCCAGCCGCGGCTACTCTCCGCCTCTCCCTCCGGGCTGGGCAGCTCTGGCAATGAAAACACCACCACGTGGCCGGCAGTCTTGGACTCACGCGCTTTCCACCAACTGCGAGCCGCGTCGCGGAGTTTTGGGCGGGTGGTCAGCGGGGTAGTTCCGCCCACACACGCCACGGATTGGTTAAGGGGGCGGTGCTCGCCCGTCCGGAGTGGGCTGGCGGCCAATGGCGGCCGACAGAGGAGTCCCCGCC